GAAGAGCCTAATTAAGGATCTTCAAGCCGACTACCTACATCAAGGGCATCAACGACGTTTCGTAGATCTTCACAGGAATCAACATTTCCGTATAGATTGCTAGGTATGCAATCCCGGACTACGTTACAATTATCTACATGCGTGACCATTACGCAGATCTACAGACAATTCAATAACGAAATTGAACAGCAGCCTTGTTACAGCGAGTAAAACTCATAATCGTCAACAATTTCCTGAGAAGAAATATGTACAACAAGTTCAGCTTTAACAGTCTACAAGCTGACAACTTGCAAGTTTTATTGAACCTTATATAAGGAAGTCGGAATTATCTTCAAGACTGAAGTTATTTTCACGACAGCCTGGAAAATAACCTACCCAGCATTAATATTACAGAGCGAGGTATTTCGCGCCGGAGGTTTCGCGCGTTTACCATTAACCCTCGAAACCGTGGTCACTTTCGGGTAACCGGGGAAGCTACGGTGAAGACCGGCGATTGTTCTAATATCAAGCGTCGGCACTATATTATACAAGGTTCCTTTTCCTGCTACACGGTGACATCACAGCGGGTACTCTACAGAATCAAAATGCCTTGTTCTGATTGGACCGAGATGGACAGCGCCCTACGCGAGAGGTCGATCATAGTTCACAGTTCAAGACATAGGTTGCAAGTGACAACAATATATCAGTGAGCGAGCAAGCCTCCTTACAGTCCAGCTAATCTGAACCTTTATGATTGGGCTGCCTTCTTGAGGTTAGAGACCTCCCCTGTCAAGTAAGGGACGAGGCACAGCAGTCAGGCGATTTTTACATAAAGTTCAGCGATGGCAGTCACCCCTGGTTGTGCACCTACATCGTCAAAGGACTGCTTGGCGAATTTAACTCGACGGGATACAAATGGATCCAAATCCATAGCGTCTCAGACTACAGTTGAATTCATCATCAAGCTACTAACACTAGATGGTTAGTAAACCTACTTAAGTTGGACCTAGAACCTTCGCAAGATCTGCTAATTCTAGGTTTTTGATTGTAACGGGCGCAGAATCGTTATAATTGTACCGGAGGACCATGGATCAAGATCAACAGTCATTCCACAAGCCTTACTATCTCTCGCTACCACTACGACAGTGACAGAGCCTGTTGGGGTTACGCACTTCAGCTCAAGACATGACAGGCAGAGGCAGACTACTATTACATCCGTTACAAGTCATCATCAATTCGCATCTAGACGAATCTCTACCGTTCAATTTACCGGTTCAGGTCAAACCTCATCTACTATGGTGGACCAAGAGATCGAATGTTTGAATAGGCGTCTCGTTAATAGAGCTGGAATCGATAACACTTCTCTCGTAGATGTGTCACTACAAGGTTGGGAGCCCATCTTGCCAACAGGGACGGCATCAGGGCTATGAGCAATCAAGAGAGCATATTACACATAAATCTGCTAGAGATGCAAGCAGTAATAAACGCCTCAATGCACTGGAGCAACTTACTACAGTATACCCAGTGGATGATTCACACAGTCAATTCGACAGTGGCGTTTTATGTGAACAAACTAAGCTCAACCAGGTCCCCGAACCTATCGACTCTATGTTTTCAATTGTTCGATTTAATCGACAATCTCAACATACATGTCAGAGCATATCACATTCCAGGAGCAAAGAATGTGATAGCAGACGCTCTCTCTCGGCCACACATACCATCGCCGACAGAATGAATGCTCCATACAGAGATATTCACTCAAATTATCAAGGAAATAGGAACTACACTAATAGACCTATTTGCCACTCGATTCAACAAACAACTGACAACATTCGTATCGCCAGTTCCAGACCCACTAGCTTTGGCAACAGAAGCACTAAGCATATCGTGGGAAGGACTCAACGCGTACGCTGTTCCGCCACCAGCGTTAATCTCACAAGTTTACTCAAAATCAGTCAAACGCAGAGCCTCCATCTGAATTTGGTCGCGGCCTACTGACCAGCGAGAACGTGGTTTCCAACTCTTATTCAAGAAATCGGACAACCAATACTACATCTTACAGAGTGCTCGAATCTGTTAATACATCCGCACACCAAACAAGCACACGGAAAGCCAGATATATTCCAACTTCACGTATGGATTGTATCAAGGCGTGTCTGAATAACAAGTTATTCAGCCAGAGCGGCAAAGCAGTCTAGCTTGCCCTGCGTAACTCAACTGGCAACTTATACGATGACAAATGGCACAGTTTGTCAATTATGCTGCAAAGGAAGGATTACAGCTAGATATGCTACTCATCCTCAAGTGGCTGACTACTTATGTTATCTACGTCAGACTAAGATTTTATAAGGCTCAACTTGTCCACCTATCTTGCAGCAATAGCTCTGTCATAACTGAGAACGGGCGTCAAGTTAACCTAAACCCAGTTACTTGCCTTGCTACGAGCTTTCCGATTGGAGGATTAAAACGGAAGTTTCACGCTCCAACTTGGGATCTGAATATAGTGCTCCAACACCTCACAAGTGAGGTTTATGATCACACTTTGATGATATACTTGGACCCCATGATACGATGAATCTATCACTATGGCCAGTAAGAGCACTGAAAATATATCTCCACCGATCCAAACAGGAGGGAAAAATTCAAGAGATTTATTTCCTCTATCAACAAGCTACGCAGACTGAAGTCTCACGTACTACTATCTCCTTTTGGATCAGAACTGTCATACTACGTGCCTACAAGACTGCAGGACCCGACCCTCCAAGAGCTTCTAATCCTCATGATATTAGAGCGCTAACATCTACACTTGCTCTACACAAGTGATATTGAAATACCGTAATGGAGGGTTATTTCTGGAGATCCGATATGGTGTTTGCCAACCACTATCTGAGAGATATCACCACCGAGGACGTCTCAGGTATCCACCAATTCAGTTGACAGTTCCTCGGAGAAGATAAGTCAATCTTACAGATTTCTACTTATCTTATAACAGTACTAAATAGCTACATGCTATATATATTTTGCTTAAGTTCTTTTATTATCTTAAGCTCAGTACTATGGTTATTATATCATACAATATATAAGCTAACAACTCTACGGAGTTTGTTATTATATATTTAGCTTAAGTTAATCATATCTTAAGCTCAGTACTATGGTTACATTATAAATGTATTAGCTAACAAACTCTACAGAGTTTTTGCTATTATATATGTAGCTTAAGTTCATTTATATCTTAAGCACAGTACTATACTCTCATATCATAAAAATATATTAGCTAACAAACTCTATCATATAAGGATTTTTGCTATTATATATTTAGCTTAAGTTTATTCATATCTTAAGCATTATGGTTACATTATAAGCTCAGTACTATGTATATAGCTAACAAACTCTACGGAGTTTTTTTGGCTATGTAGGTAGCTTAAGTTAATTATATCTTAAGCACAGTACTATACTCATATCATAAAATATATTAGCTAACAAACTCTATGAAGTTTTGCTATTATATATATAGCTTAAGTTTTATTCATATCTTAAGCTTAGTACTATGTTTACTTCATAAAAGTATATTAGCTAATAAACTCTAAGGAGTTTTTGCTATTATATATTTAGCTTAAGTTTAATCATATCTTAAGCTCAGTACTATGTTTATATCATAAAAGTATTTTAGCTAACAAACTCTAAGGAGTTTATGCTATCATATTAACAAGCTTAAGTCTATTAGTCTTAAGCATTGTATTAATGTTATATATACTTTTATCATAATAAGTAAATTGTAATAACCTTTATATGGCAGCTGATAAGTTAGCAGCAGGAATTCATCAGTTCAGTGCCTTTATGAAGTTCCCATAGGGTTATTACAATCATCACAGTTCAAATCACTAATTATTAAAATCCAAAGTATTATATATTCCCACCTCCTTTTCCGTCGGATTCTACAAGCAATAAGCATGAGTCAGGATAAGGAAAAATATGTAATTTTTAGAGTAAAATTGATATTTTATACTTATCCTGACTCATGAGGTAAGCCCTCCCATCCTCCCCACATAACACTTTGGATTTCCCTGGAAATTCAAGTGTTGGGCTCAGTATATGAGGAGAGAGTGAGGCACATGGGTTGAGGTGGCGCCCTCGTTCCCGCGCTTGGGCAAGGGAGGTAACTCGTGGTGAGTACTAATTAGTGATTTCTTTATTGAAGGGAACTTCAATTGGGAGATACACGTGTTCCACTATGTTCGCAAGAAGAAGAAGACAAGCAATAAGCATGAGTCAGGATAAGTATAAAATATCAATTTTACTCTAAAAATTACATACTTGTGTACCATGTCACATGGTGGTTGATAAGGTGTATTACTTGTCTTCCATGTCACATGGTGGCAGATATGGTGTTGTACTTGTCTACCATGTCACATGGTGTTAGATACAGTGTATTACCTATCTACCATGTCACATGGTGGTTGATAAGGTGTATTACTTGTCTTCCATGTCACATGGTGGCAGATATGGTGTTGTACTTGTCTACCATGTCACATGGTGTTAGATACAGTGTATTACCTATCTACCATGTCACATGGTGGTTGATACGGTGTATTACTTGTCTATGATGTGACATGATGGTAGATACAGTGTATTACTTGTCTATACTGTGACATGGTGGTTGATACGGTGTATTACTTGTCTATGATGTTACATGGTGGTAGATACGGTGTATTACTTGTCTACCATGCCGTGCATGTGTGTGTATGTGTATGTGCGGCTGCTTGTACTAGCCCAGACTTAAGCTGGTTTTATAGTGCTAGCCCACTGAGATACCATGCTGCAGTGAAGCACGAATACTCCTCTCAGACACATTATACTGACTCCGAGCTGACCAGTCCTTGTTGTACCCATTAATGCCGAGCGCCATGCAGGGACCAACAAGTACCATATTTTAACTTCTTTTGGTATGACCCGGTCGGGGATCGAACCCACGACCTGGTGATGTAGAGTATGGGTAACTAATTAATGGTGTTTTTACACAGGCCATGCGGGGAGTGACAGCAGCCATGCAGAGGATGAGGAGGAGGATGTGCAGGGTTTCCTCTTCAACAAACTCAAGTGAGGCAAAAACAAAGAGACATTAAGGACTTTAGTTCTAGAGTTACCTTGTTCCCTGGAAGAATATTGGCTGAAGATAAATATCTGTCTTATGTTTTCTTCTGTCTTTAAACCAATGTAATGTGGAAACAGGATTCTTTATCCTGATTTTGAAACCCATTTTATAAATGGAAAAGGGATTTTTATCTTGATTGGACAAAAGAATCAGTCTAATGTGTTCAGTGTTTCATTATAGTCTATTTGGGACATTCTTTTAAACTACTTACCAGTAATGATGCATAGTGAATAATATGTTGCACTAACTTTTTAAACAATTTATCATTCAATGCTAGTACCTCTATTTCATAAATGTCTACAGTCACAGAAATATCATATGAATTCCCTCACACCTGCTTCAATATAAAGCATATTTCATAATGATTCAATGTCTTTTTATTAGTTCTACTTTATATGTCAATGACTTTTCTGATTCAACAGAAAATTGCACCCAGAAGTGACAGACAATCTGAAGGAGTTTCGGGATCACCTGATTGACTCCAATGTAGAGTTAGCTCCCCTTGATGTGTGGCAGTTGCAGGGTGAGTAGTGTTTAGTTAGCTGATGTGAAATAATGGGTAGGCTCCTGAGCAGTCACCTATGTTTCATCAACAGTTTCAGACAAGCATACTGTCATGTGACAGATCATTCCCACCCCCCACACACAGTGATAGGGAGTACCATAAGGCTATCTCACCATGGCTGTGAGTATCTTGTATATAATGTATACTACAAGGTTAAGTAACTACATCCCCCAGGATTCAGGAACAAATGCTAAGTTTGGTTTGTAAGTAAAACAGTACTATTGTGACCAATATATTAGTTATATATGTCTGTATGAATGTGAGTGTTGTGTGTTGTTGGTATGGGATTGTTGTATCCCTGAGTCTACAGGTGTTTGACATGTTGGGATCATGGGTTGTGTTGTTTTGCAGACCTGAGTCTACAGGCAGCACAGCGAGTGTTGTCAGCTCCTACTGAGGATGCCCTTCGTAAGCTCATGGACATCAGTCAAAACTTCCCCTCACAGACACGGTAACTGCCTCCGAAACATTGTGCAGGATGTTTAGCATGGAAATACTTCCAGAGAGTAGCATTAGATGTCTAACATGGTGTACGGCATGGGTGCACCTCCAGGATGTAACATAAGATGTATAGTATGGGTACACCTACAGGATGTAACATAAGATGTATAGTATGGGTACACCTACAGGATGTAACATAAGATGTATAGTATGATTACACCTCCAGGATGTAACATAAGATATATGGCATGGGTACACCTCCAGGATGTAACATAAGATATAAAGTATGGGTACACCTCCAGGATGTAACATAAGATATATAGTATGGGTACACCTCCAGGATGTAACATAAGATATATAGTATGGGTACACCTCCAGGATGTAACATAAGATATATAGCATGGGTACACCTCCAGGATGTAACATAAGATGTATAGTATGGGTACACCTCCAGGATGTAACATAAGATGTATAGTATGGGTACACCTACAGGATGTAACATAAGATGTATATTATGGGTACACCTCCAGAATGTAACATAAGATGTATAGTATGATTACACCTCCAGGATGTAACATAAGATATATGGCATGGGTACACCTCCAGGATGTAACATAAGATATATAGTATGGGTACACCTCCAGGATGTAACATAAGATGTATAGTATGGGTACACCTCCAGGATGTAACATAAGATATATGGCATGGGTACACCTCCAGGATGTAACATAAGATATATAGTATGGGTACACCTCCAGGATGTAACATAAGGTGTATAATATGGGTACACCTCCAGGATGTAACATAAGATGTATAGTATGGGTACACCTCCAGGATGTAACATAAGATATATGGCATGGGTACACCTCCAGGATGTAACATAGGATATATAGTATGATTACACCTCCAGGATGTAACATAAGATATATAGCATAGGTACACCTACAGGATGTAACATAAGATATATGGCATGGGTACACCTACAGGATGTAACATAAGATGTATAGCATGGGTACACCTCCAGGATGTAACATAAGATGTATAGCATGGGTACACCTCCAGGATGTAACATAAGATATATGGCATGGGTACACCTACAGGATGTAACATAAGATATATAGCATGGGTACACCTACAGGATGTAACATAAGATGTATAGCATGGGTACACTCCAGGATGTAACATAAGATATATAGCATGGGTACACCTCCAGGATGTAACATAAGATATATGGCATGGGTACACCTCCAGGATGTAACATAAGATATATAGCATGGGTACACCTACAGGATGTAACATAAGATGTATAGCATGGGTACACCTCCAGGATGTAACATAAGATATATAGCATGGGTACACCTCCAGGATGTAACATAAGATATATGGCATGGGTACACCTCCAGGATGTAACATAAGATATATAGCATGGGTACACCTACAGGATGTAACATAAGATATATGGCATGGGTACACCTCCAGGATGTAACATAAGATGTATAGTATGGGTACACCTCCAGGATGTAACATAAGATATATAGTATGGGTGCACCTCCAGGATGTAACATAAGATGTATAGTATGGGTACACCTCCAGGATGTAACATAAGATATATACTATGGGTACACCTCCAGGATGTAACATAAGATGTATAGTATGGCTACACCTCCAGGATGTAACATAAGATATATAGCATAGGTACACCTCCGGGATGAAACATAAGAAGTATTGTATGGGTACACCTCCAGAATGTAACATAAGATGTATAGCATGGGTACACCTCCAGGATGTAGCATAAGATGTATAGCATGGGTACACCTCCAGGATGTAACATAAGATATATGGCATGGGTACACCTACAGGATGTAACATAAGATATATAGCATGGGTACACCTCCAGGATGTAACATAAGATGTATAGCATGGGTACACCTACAGGATGTAACATAAGATATATAGCATGGGTACACCTCCAGGATGTAACATAAGATATATGGCATGGGTACACCTACAGGATGTAACATAAGATATATAGCATGGGTACACCTACAGGATGTAACATAAGATATATGGCATGGGTACACCTCCAGGATGTAACATAAGATCTATAGTATGGGTACACCTCCATGATGTAACATAAGATATATGGCATGGGTACACTTCCAGGATGTAACATAAAATATATATAGTATGGGTACACCTCCATGATGTAACATAAGATATATGGCATGGGTACACTTCCAGGATGTAACATAAGATATATAGTATGGGTACACCTCCAGGATGTAACATAAGGTGTATAATATGGGTACACCTCCAGGATGTAACATAAGATGTATAGTATGGCTACACCTCCAGGATGTAACATAAGATATATGGCATGGGTACACCTCCAGGATGTAACATAGGATATATAGTATGATTACACCTCCAGGATGTAACATAAGATATATAGTATGGGTACCCTTCCAGGATGTAACATAAGATGTATAGTATGGGTACACCTCCAGGATGTAACATAAGATGTATAGTATGGGTACACCTACCGGATGTAAGATATGATATAAAGTATGGGTACACCTCCAGGATGTAACATAAGATATATAGTATGGGTACACCTCCAGGATGTAACATAAGATGTATAGTATGGGTACACCTCCAGCATGTAACATAAGATATATGGCATGGGTACACCTACAGGATGTAACATAAGATATATAGTATGGGTACACCTACAGGATGTAACATAAGATGTCTAGCATGGGTACACCTACAGGATGTATCATGAGATGTAAAGTATGATTACACCTTCCGAATGTAACATAAGATATATAGCATAGGTACACCTCCAGGATGTAACATAAGATATATGGCATGGGTACACCTCCGGGATGAAACATAAGAAGTATTGTATGGGTACACCTCCAGAATGTAACATAAGATGTATAGCATGGGTACACCTCCAGGATGTAGCATAAGATGTATAGCATGGGTACACCTCCAGGATGTAACATAAGATATATGGCATGGGTACACCTACAGGATGTAACATAAGATATATAGCATGGGTACACCTACAGGATGTAACATAAGATGTATAGCATGGGTACACCTCCAGGATGTAACATAAGATATATAGCATGGGTACACCTCCAGGATGTAACATAAGATATATGGCATGGGTACACCTACAGGATGTAACATAAGATATATAGCATGGGTACACCTACAGGATGTAACATAAGATATATGGCATGGGTACACCTCCAGGATGTAACATAAGATGTATAGTATGGGTACACCTCCAGGATGTAACATAAGATATATAGTATGGGTACACCTCCAGGATGTAACATAAGATGTATAGTATGGGTACACCTCCAGGATGTAACATAAGATATATAGTATGGGTACACCTCCAGGATGTAACATAAGATGTATAGTATGGCTACACCTCCAGGATGTAACATAAGATATATAGTATGGGTACCCTTCCAGGATGTAACATAAGATGTATAGTAGGGGTACACCTCCAGGATGTAACATAAGATGTATAGTATGGGTACACCTACCGGATGTAACATATGATATATAGGTTGGGTACACCTCCAGGATGTAACATAAGATGTATAGTATGGGTACACCTCAAGGATGTAACATAAGATGTATAGTATGGGTTCACCTCCAGCATGTAACATAAGATATATGGCATGGGTACACCTACAGGATGTAACATAAGATATATAGTATGGGTACACCTACAGGATGTAACGTAAGATGTATAGCATGGGTACACCTCCAGGATGTATCATGAGATGTAAAGTATGATTACACCTCCCGAATGTAACATAAGATATATGGCATGGGTACACCTCCGGGATGAAACATAAGAAGTATTGTATGGGTACACCTCCGGGATGAAACATAAGAAGTATTGTATGGGTACACCTCAAGAATGTAACATAAGATGTATAGCATGGGTACACCTCCAGGATGTAGCATAAGATGTATAGCATGGGTACACCTACAGGATGTAACATAAGATATATAGCATGGGTACACCTCCAGGATGTAACATAAGATATATGGCATGGGTACACCTACAGGATGTAACATAAGATATATAGCATGGGTACACCTACAGGATGTAACATAAGATATATGGCATGGGTACACCTCCAGGATGTAACATAAGATATATAGTATGGGTACACCTCCAGGATGTAACATAAGATATATAGTATGGGTACACCTCCAGGATGTAACATAAGATGTATAGTATGGGTTCACCTCCAGGATGTAACATAAGATGTATGGCATGGGTACACCTACAGGATGTAACATAAGATATATGGCATGGGTACACCTCCAGGATGTAACATAAGATACATGGCATGGGTACACCTCCAGGATGTAACATAAGATATATGGCATGGGTACACCTCCAGGATGTAACATAAGATGTATAGCAAGGGTACACCTCCAGGATGTAACATAAGATGTATAGCATGGGTACACCTCCAGGATGTAACATAAGATATATGGCATGGGTACACTTCGAGGATGTAACAGAAGATATATGGCATAGGTACACCTCCAGAATGTAACATAAGATGTATGGCAGGTGTACACCTCCAGGATGTAACATAACATGTATAGCAGACAACAGATAGCATTGGAATACCAGCAGATACAACATCGTATACACATTTGAATCTAGCATATTGTGTTGCCACAGATCCCTCGTGAAGACCAACGTTGACATTAACATGAAGAAGGAAATTCAGAAGAATCAGCAGGTTGGTAATAGTGAGATGATTGGTGTAATGTAGACAGGGTGGAAACAGAGCTTTAACAGATTGTGGTCTGCATTTGTTTACCAAATTACTGTGCCACTCAGGTGTTGCATTGATTATTATTGGAATCTTGTACTGACATATTTCTATAGAAATTGTTTGTAATGATATTGTACAGAACTTCGAGGCTGACCACTCCCTGCTGCCTGGTGACTCTGCTCTGTACCTAAATGGGCTGCCAGTGGACCTGGAAATCTATGACATCTTCTCCCTTCTAGAGGTCATGAGGTCAGAGGCCAAAGTCCTGGAGGGCCTCCATTCGCTTGGGTTCAAGGTCAGTGGATCAGAAATATACATAGGATATGTTTTCATTTTAGCTCATCTGAAAATCAAATATCATTAAAGCCTGGTCTGATGGTCCATCATCCATGGTGCTTCTTAACATTTTATATAATCAGAAACCACTGGACCAAGTAACATGTGGAATTAGTTTCAACACAAACATTCTTGTTATTGTTTGGCATCTTTGCAATCTCCCTCTCAAAACTTTCTGTGAGCATCACCTGATGACTGTTCTCCATTTTTGTTCAGATTTGTTTTCATGCTAATGCTGACCAACCAACTTTTGAAAACTTTCACTACAACCAGATGAGGTTCGGAAGCTGGACAAGTTTCTAGCTGTGTTATCTGAACCAATCGTTATCATGTCTTATGCCTTGATCTGTTTCAGTCATATTTTCTTTAACTTTAATTCAGTGTACCATCTGTATATAAGACTTCCAGCAATGCTGTAGTCGGGGTATTAAACGTGTGTGTATATTGTCCACAGGGGGAGAACCTGCATCGCCTCCTCAACACTGACCTGAAAGGTGGAGATGATAAAAGTTACGCCCTGGACATCCGACATGGTGCAATACAGGTACACACTTCAAAGTAAACACTGACCACCCATGTCTTGAAAACAAGGACGTTATTACCGGATATTGTTCAGAAAGGTTGGCTTGATCCCCAGCAACCTGTGCTTGGCACACGTGCTAAACTGAATGGATTGGATGGAGAGGATAGTGAACCTTGGTTGACTGCATGTCATCATGAATCACTATTTCATTACTGGTTATGAAAATGGATAAACAATAATGCACCACTGTATGCTGCTGTATGTTGCAGTAATGTATGTTGCAGTACTGTATTTCACTGTGTGTTGCAGTACTGTATGTCCCTGTATGTTGCAGTACTGTATGTCCCTGTATGTTGCAGTACTGTATGTCCCTGTATGTTGCAGTACTGTATGTTGCAGTGCTGTATGTCCCTGTATATTGCAGTACTGTTTGTTGCAGTACTGTATGTCCCTGTATGTTGCAGTACTGTATGTTGCAGCCCTGTATGTTGCAGTACTGTACTGTATGTTGCAGTACTGTATGTTGCATTACTGTATGTCCCTGTATGTTACTGTACTGTTTGTTGCAGTACTGTATGTCCCTGTATGTTGCAGTACTGTATGTTGCAGTGCTGTATGTTGCAGTACTGTATGTTGCAGTACTGTATGTCCCTGTATGTTGCAGTACTGTATGTCCCTGTATGTTACAGTACTGTATGTCCCTGTATGTTACAGTACTGTATGTCCCTGTATGTTACAGTACTGTATGTCCCTGTATGTTGTAGTACTGTATGTCCCTGTATGTTGCAGTACTGTATGTCCCTGTATGTTGCAGTACTGTATGTATGTTGCAGTACTGTATGTCCCTGTATGTTGCAGTACTGTATGTCCCTGTATGTTGCAGTACTGTATGTCCCTGTATGTTGCAGTACTGTATGTCCCTGTATGTTGCAGTACTGTATGTCCCTGTATGTTACAGTACTGTATGTCCCTGTATGTTGCAGTACTGTATGTCCCTGTATGTTGTAGTACTGTATGTCCCTGTATGTTGTAGTACTGTATGTCCCTGTATGTTGTAGTACTGTATGTCCCTGTATGTTGTAGTACTGTATGTCCCTGTATGTTGCAGTACTGTATGTCCCTGTATGTTGCAGTACTGTATGTCCCTGTATGTTGCAGTACTGTATGTTGCATTACTGTATGTTGCAGTACTGTATGTCCCTGTATGTTGCAGTACTGTATGTCCATGTATGTTGCAATACTGTATGTTGCAGTGCTGTATGTTGCAGTGCTGTATGTTGCAGTGCTGTATGTTGCAGTACTGTATGTTGCAGTACTGTATGTCCCTGTATGTACTGTATGTCCCTGTATGTTGCAGTACTGTATGTCCCTGTATGTTGCAGTACTGTATGTCCCTGTATGTTGCAGTACTGTATGTCCCTGTGTTGCAGTACTGTACGTCCCTGTATGTTGCAGTACTGTATGTCCCTGTATGTTTGCAGTACTGTATGTCCCTGTATGTTGCAGTACTGTATGTCCCTGTATGTTGCAGTACTGTATGTCCCTGTATGTTGCAGTACTGTATGTCCCTGTATGTTGTAGTACTGTATGTCCCTGTATGTTGTAGTACTGTATGTCCCTGTATGTTGCAGTACTGTATGTCCCTGTATGTTGTAGTACTGTATGTCCCTGTATGTTGTAGTACTGTATGTCCCTGTATGTTGTAGTACTGTATGTCCCTGTATGTTGCAGTACTGTATGTCCCTGTATGTTGCAGTACTGAATGTTGCTTTTTTTGTAGTACTGTATGTCCCTGTATGTTATAGTACTGTGCCTCACTGTATGTTGTAGTACTGTATGTCCCTGTATGTTGCAGTACTGAATGTTGCTTTTTTTTGTAGTACTGTATGTTGCTGTATGTTATAGTACTGTGCCTCACTGTATGTTGTAGTACTGTATGTCCCTGTATGTTGCAGTCCTGAATGTTGCTTTTTTTTGTAGTACTGTATGTTGCTGTATGTTATAGTACTGTGCCTCACTGTATGTTGTGGTACTGTATGTCCCTGTATGTTGCAGTACTGTATGTCCCTGTATGTTGTAGTACTGTATGTCCCTGTATGTTGTAGTACTGTATGTCCCTGTATGTTGTAGTACTGTATGTCCCTGTATGTTGCAGTACTGTATGTCCCTGTATGTTGCAGTACTGAATGTTGCTTTTTTGTAGTACTGTATGTTGCTGTATGTTATAGTACTGTGCCTCACTGTATGTTGTAGTACTGTATGTCCCTGTATGTTGCAGTACTGTATGTCCCTGTATGTTTGCAGTACTGTATGTTGCGGTACTGTTATTTGCTGTATATTAACTACTGTATGTTGCTGCATATAAAGTACTGTATGTTGCTGTATGTTATAGTACTGTGCGTCACTGTATGTTGCAGTACCTGAACGACCTAGAGAAGGACAAGGAATACAAAGGCTGGCCAGGCAGCATCCAGGACATTCTGCGGCCGACCTTCCCGGGCATGCTCAGGCATCTGCGCAAAAACATCTTCCATCTTGTTAGTATTCATCATCAATGATTCATTAGTTCAGTCTTTGGACTGCTTTTCATTATTATGAAGCTGCCATATTTACATTGCAGAACAGAATGACCAACACACTTGTTCTGAATCACAGATTTTCAGAAAGGTGCAAGACTGTGTGTTTTATTTTTAACAACATTGTGTTGTACACGGTCTTGTATATTCAGTACAAAGACTCTGCATAGAGGTAGCAGTCCTTGTGATTGTTTCCAAAGCCAGCTGAAGTTAGGTTTCATTGTTTGACTGGTGGGTGACTGTCACTGAAATATAGACCCGAAAACTTAGAGTTTAGTCTTGAAACTTTCCCTTCACTTGTTTATACTTTAGACCAGTTCAAAGGAATGTGGGGTGGTGGGGTGGTGGGGTAGCCTAGTGGGTAAAGTGTTTACTCATCACGTCAAAGACCCAGGTTCGATTCGTTGAATTGGTACAATATGTGAAGCCCATTTCTGTATTTCCCCATGGATTATTGCCAAAAGAGGTACACTCAAGGTGTAAACAAATTAATTTAACTTTTCTTAAAATGAATACTGGAAACTCTATAAAGTTTGTCATGAGGGCAAAAACTCTACCCTCAGCTGAAATTTCAGGGAAACCCCAAATGTCCATAGAATTAGTTCAACATTTCTCTGATTTTCATGCCAACTTTCACAATAGAATTAACCGCTGATGAGTAAAGCTATGAAAGTTAAGCCTACAGTCTTTTTAACATGCGTCTGAGGTGTTTCTGTGGAATCATACATTGAAAAACTACAAAAGCCCCGTTCACATGCACCTGTTTGAACACTTATTTTTAAATACACACATGAGCAAACTTTACATACGTGTGTAAATGTGTCATGTGAACGCATTTACTCATGTATGTAAATATTCACTAGGAGCAAATTTACATGTGGTCAGGACCAGGTGCAAAAGTATATTTACACATGTGCAAATTTGCACTGCGAGTAAATTATGTCATTAATCTTTATTTAGGGGAAAAGTTACATCTTACATAACCGAAACATCACATATGGTCTGACAAACGGTGGACATCCCAACACCAAACAAATTCCCCACAGTTCTAGATTCTGAAGTTGAAGCCATAAAGAATATTGTGATTGCACCTTTCATTCGTACATCCAAAGGTTGGAAAACAGCTTGGTCACTAGCTTTTAAGTAATCCTGTAGTTGTGTGCAGATAAGATCGAAAACCCCTTTGTTCATTTGAAAATTATCGTACCAGTCTTTGTCGTCACTAGTTTTATTCATGTCGTTGCAGCATACAGACGGCCTTTCTTGTGACAGACCTATTGCAAGAGCAGTACATATCTAATACTGTGTTTGTCTTCTAAAGCGCCAGTGATAAGAGAACATCTTTCTCTGTTGAAGTTTAGAGAAACTATGGAACAGTTTAATACATTTATCATTTACACTTTCAAGTTTACTCACTCTACATAAATTCAATGTGAACGCAAAGTAAATTTACTATTACACTCGTATATATATTTACACATGTGCAAATTTACTTACATGGGTAAATTTTGTGCATGTAAATGGGGCTTAAGTAAACAACAACGAAAGTGACAACTTCAGCACCTTGTGCACCAGTTTATGAGTTATTCTTTTGAAAATTAACCGCAACTGAATATCTGACAGTATTTACTATCTAGAAAATTTGAAAAGTACACCCTGTAACCAAAAATGGCAGCACTATAGCAAAATAAGAATTCATGAGTATTCCTCTCATTATGGACTTACATAAAACTGATCAAACATAATTAGAAAAATTGACATTGCATATGTCTCCTTAGACTTGAACCGCTTCAGTCGGCTAGTGAATGACATTGGTATAACATGCCATTCACCTACTCTCTTGCAACACCAGTTTATTTATAGAAACAATCTGTATTTGTGAATGTTGAGTTGGCTATTCTTTGTATGACTGTGTTTACTTACAGGACAGAAAACCAGTTCATGGCGATTCATTCCTCTCGACACCACTGTTTGTCTGCTGCCAGCTTGCAATGTGGTACTGTGGGATCTTATGTACCACTGCCTTGAAATGTTTCAGGTGTTCATTGTTGATCCAGCCGATCCCACCAGTAAGGAACTCATCAAAATGGCCGAGGCTTTCTATGTACACAAGGCCCCTATAAGGTGAGACAGGACAGTAGTGTTGTAATTCAAGTATAATGATCCACTCTGTGAGTGACAGTTTCTTGTATTTGGAAATGTGTTTCTGATTGGAATATGATGAGATGAAAAGCTTTCACAGAGTCCCCTTTCTAACAGTAGAGTATTGCAGCAATAAGCTGTATTATAAATGTCCACACCACAAACTACAATATTCAAGCTGCAGTGGCCTGTAAATAAAGGAGTCTGGGAATCAAACCAATCATTGACGATAACAGCAACTGTGCACGTTGGTCTGATATGACACAGATGTCACGGGTTGCATCCAACTGTTCCTCATGGGTTTCAACAAAATTTGGCTGCTGGGGAAATGTTAGTCAATCCTTGCAGGGTCTGACACTGGCACAGTTATGGCGATGGTGACCTCTGATATTGTGTGTGTGTGTGTCAGGATGGTGTTTCAAGGTGCATGTTACCAACTGTCATGTTCTTGTCTTCTAGGCTGGGGATTGTCCTGGTCAGCAACAGTGATGAAAGTGTCAATGGAAAGACAGATGCCAGCGTGGCGTTTGCACGTGCCTTCAACTTCATCCAGATCGATACTGGTGTGCCCCGAGCTGTGTCATTCATTACTGACGTGAGTATAGAGAGACATGTGGCCATCCCTCTGCCACACAAGCCATCCTCATTATGTACTTAAACCTTGATGTACAAGATGGCTAGATAGATTGAAATGGATAGATAGTTTGAAGGAAGACATCCTGATAAAAGGCAGCTATCTAGATTGTACGAAGATACCATGACTGAATATATATATCCAGATTGAAAGTATATATATCATCACGGTAACTAGTGACCCTATCTTCAAAATGTTTGTAGCACTTTGCCATTCATAAGCATAGAGTATAGAGTTAGGATAAGTCATAATGTTATGAATGCTTTATGGAACGGAACCTGTACTACATTTTGTAGGTGTATGAGAAGATCGGCACAGGTGAGGTGACTGCCGAGGCAGTGATGGATGAGTTCTCCATCCAGTTTCCCGGGGAAGACAAGGAACTGGTGTTCGGGGACGACACCGACTATAACGACGTCAGGAAGGTGGGTGCTTCACACAGCTTGTATACAATGTTATATAAGAAACATGTCCCAGATGGAACTGATAACCAATAGGAGACAATGACAGTAATATTATCTGTATATTTTCAGGTGATTGGTAGGGACTTGTGTGAGAATAGGTCCTGTATGATTGTAACACATGTAAGATGTAGTAAACCTGGAACCTGTGCTCAAGCTCAATGATCTTGTTACAGGTGCTCACAATATCAACCACTGATTTGTCTGGCTGAGAGTCAATTATTTAAGAGCCACTTTCATAGAACTAGAATATATTGGGCAAAATCAGTGCACAAATTATTCAGACTGTTATCAGTCATCAACATAGCATGTATTCCACCACCCAGTTCCTGCAATAGAGCCGTTGTTTGAGCCAATGTGTCCCATCCTCAGCTGCATGTGTGTGGTGATATTGATGTTACAGAGTGGGAATGAGTTTGTGGCTCAGTCAGGGCTGAGTGGCTTCCCCCAAGTCCTGATGAACGGCAGCCCCTTGAAGAAGCAGTACTTGGCCCAGGACTCCTTCGAGGAAGGGGTAGTCAACGAGATTCTGAAGGCCACGCCCTCTGTGCAAAAGGCAGTGTATCATGTAAGTAGCTCAGAATGATGACATTTGTTAAGATTTTGTGTATTAAAAGCCCTCCAAGTATCCAGTAAACTGATGTAAATATTTTTTGACAATTTCACCAGTTGGAGTCTGTTCATAGAATTGACTTTTTAAATGATGTTGTGTTAACATTTTACTGTTTGCTACTGTATACAATCATTGTCTCCTCTTGACTGCTATGTTTGTGTCTGCCACCAGGGCGAGTTGTACGACAGCATTAATGTCCTGGACTGGTTAATGGAGAAAGACAACGTCCTACCTCGCCTCAACTCCAGGATTCTCTCCACTGCTGCCAAATCTCTGGATCTCTCTGAGAATATCGGTGAGCAGACAAGTGTTCTTGTCAAGTGTTCTCGGGTTTGATCCTGGCAGAGTTATCTCTTGTAAACCTCACTCCCTAAAGTGATTCATCACAGCCTGCATTTAATGTGACATGGAAATTTGTGATGTCTGAATGTCTAATTGTGTCTGTGTATTTTCTAGACAGTGAAATCTTCCATGACACAGCTACGTTCAGCACGATGAATGTGAGAGATATGGCTTCCATTATGGCTGACAATCTGAAGTACCTGACCCGGCGAGGTAAGCAAACATTCTGATGGAACCAACAATGGCAAAGTCTTCTCTATAGCCGTGTCAGACTACTGACTATGTTATGACCCAGTCAACATTGAAAAAGTTGTAAACTCACTTAGAGAAGTAATTTAGAAAGTTAGAGTTTGTGATTTAGATTATTTCACTTTTGGGGGTCTTCAGCTGTGCATTGTTTATGTAAATGTTTCCGTGTGTCAACAGAGGAGGATGCACTGAGATCTGTCAGCATGTGGGTTGTAGCTGACCTCGAAACCCCCCAAGGGAGACAACTCATGTACAATGCAATCAAGCATCTGGTGAGAGTATACATATTTCCAACTTGTATGTGCTGTCTCTTTATATAGTACTACATGAATATAGCTGCGTCCCATCCCATGTGTCATGTAATATAGTATAGTTATGCCCTGAACAATTTGACTTGAATCAAGTTAAAGTACAAGTATAATTGCTACATGATGATATGAATAAGCTGACTGAGTGTTGGAATAAAGGCTGTGTGAAACAATCTAGGATGGTTTTAGGCCTGACTGCATTCCCCCTTTTAGCATATACTGCTACTTTCATCAGCCACTGGTTTTTCCAGTTATTTACATTCTGATGTGTTTTAGCTGTAACACTTTGATAAGACAGCGTTCACAATCACTAACATCAACTAACTTTAACTAATCATGCATAAATAAACAGTATTTTGTGGGGATGTGTAGAAATCTTCTGCTGACATGCGTTTGAGCATGATCTTCAATCCATCGTCGGCCAACCAGGACAACAGCTTGAACAAGGCTGTGTATACCGCCCTGACCACACTGTCCGGGAACATTGCCAAGAACTTCATCACCAAACTCGTGAAGGAGGACAATGTTATGGAGATCAAGGCCGGTACCAAGAAGTTGGATGATCTCGAAGTTCATGTGAGCTGATGTTGATCAAACATATTACTTTTCAAAAGCAATTGTATAAGATATAAGTTGTTATCAATGCCCATCTTGGCATCCTGGAAAACACTCAAGATACATATGCACACACCACACCCCCTATGACATTTTGGCCTCTTAATATTTAAATAACAATTTGGCACAACAAACAGCAGCATGCACATGAAACCTAAAGGCTGTCAGTGAGTGTTGAGTTATGTTGGAGATGTTGTGTTGTGCTGAAGATGTTGTGCTCTGTGTGCAGGGCATGGACATGAAGAAATACCTGGCTGCTCTCAACAAGCAGGGTGACTCGTTCCTCAAGTCTCATCGAGCATTTGCCCAAAAGGTTCTGCAGTTTGTGGAAGCAGCACGTGGTGTCGTCACCAATGGCAAGGTGAGCCCCATGTGGGATATGATAATGTAGTTGCCATATTATGGAGATGACATCTTATCCGGATTAAAAAACTATGTATCACATAATGGTTATGGAGGTGTTCCGAGCCGGTGTCTGCTTAATATGTAAGGTGATCAGCCATTGATGTGAATGGTAAATGTGTCAGGTGATCAGCCATTGATGTGAATTGTAAATGTGTCAGGTGATCAGCCATTGATGTGAATGGTAAATATGTCAGGTGATCAGCCATTGATGTGAATGGTAAATATGTCAGGTGATCGGCCATTGATGTGAATGGTAAATGTGTCAGGTGATCAGCCATTGATGTGAATGGTAAATATGTCAGGTGATCGGCCATTGATGTGAATGGTAAATATATATGTCAGGTGATCAGCCATTGATGTGAATGGTAAATATGTCAGGTGATCGGCCATTGATGTGAATGGTAAATATGTCAGGTGATCAGCCATTGATGTGAATGGTAAATATGTATGTCAGGTGATCGGCCATTGATGTGAATGGTAAATATGTCAGGTGATCAGCCATTGATGTGAATGGTAAATATGTCAGGTGATCAGCCATTGATGTGAATGGTAAATATATATGTCAGGTGATCAGCCATTGATGTGAATGGTAAATATATATGTCAGGTGATCAGCCATTGATGTGAATGGTAAATATATATGTCAGGTGATCGGCCATTGATGTGAATGGTAAATATATATGTCAGTTGATCAGCCATTGATGTGAATGGTAAAAATATGTCAGGTGATCAGCCATTGATGTGAATGGTAAATATGTCAGGTGATCAGCCATTGATGTGAATGGTAAATATATATGTCAGGTGATCGGCCATTGATGTGAATGGTAAATGTGTCAGGTGATCGGCCATTGATGTGAATGGTAAATGTGTCAGGTGATCGGCCATTGATGTGAATGGTAAATGTGTCAGGTGATCAGCCATTGATGTGAATGGTAAATATATATGTCAGGTGATCTGCCATTGATGTGAATGGTAAATATGTCAAGTGATCAGCCATTGATGTGAATGGTAAATGTGTCAGGTGATCGGCAATTGATGTGAATGGTAAATATGTCAGGTGATTGGCCCCCTGGATGACGGGGAAGACTTCCTGCCAGATGATGTTGGTCTCTTGGAGAAATACACATTGCAGCAGTCTGCTCGTAAAATCCGTGAGCAGATCCGTGGCCTGGGATATGACAATGACAAGTAAGACAACACCTCATAGCATTTGCTTAGAAAAATACCAGTTTCTTTGTTAAATCCAAAAAGGATACAGACATTTATTTGTTTAAAAAAAGTTATATGGAAGCTGAAAATGTTGATGAAAGAAGCTACCAGATGAATGTAAAAATGCTCACTCTTGCCATAACTGGCCAATACTTAGTAAGGTTACTGCGACTCATTCAGCTGCTTTCACATCTAATGTTGCTAACTTCAGCTTGAAATTGTGTGCATTCACCTAAACCTTTCCTCTGTATCAGGGGAAGTAACTTGCTCCTGAAGGTGGCAGCACTGTTGACTGCCAAGAGTCAGACTGAGGGCAGGAAGAAAGTCAGCTTCAAGTCTGATGAACACAGGTAACTACTGTCTATAATGATGCTTCCCTGCAGTGAAAAGTCATTATTAATTATAGTAGAAACAATTCCTGTGTGAGATGCTAACATGAATGAGGGTGTGTTGCAGTGTGTTGAAGATCCCGGCCGATGACTCCATGCCTGCCTTTGTTGTGGAGGTGATTTTAGACCCTGTGTCCAGGGAAGCCCAGAAGCTCTCTGCTGTACTCCACATCCTCAAACAGAGCACCAACATGGAGGTCCGCATCTACATGAACTGTAAGGACAAGCTGTCCGAGATGCCTCTCAAAAAGTAAGTACTTCACACAGAGCTCAGTGAATTGAACTGGTGGCTGTCTACAAACCTGACGCCACTCTGTCATCATGTGCAACACTGACAGTGCTGAAAGCAAATTCATGGCGACCCATAAGCGGCTATCTCCAATTCCTTATACTGAACAATAAAGCCTCACAAGATCCATGATTTGCCTTAGCTTCTTTACTTTCTACTCAAGATTTATGTATACATATTTATTTCAGCTACTATCGATATGTCCTTGACCCTGAGCTGACCTTCAAGGTTGATGGCTCGTACACACGTGGTCCCGTGGGTCGGTTCACTGACATGCCAGAGAAGTCTCTGCTGACTCTCAACATGGATCCCCCCGAGAGTTGGCTGGTGGAGGCTGTCCGCTCTCCGTATGACCTTGACAATATCCTACTGGAGGAGGTAAGAATATGTGCTGATGAAAAGTCTAAACATATTTTATAGATATGAAAAGGACAGAGCACAGGTTAGATCCCTGTCACACAGCGATTCACATATATGCACAGTTAAAATATTGGTGTATGAACATTGCAATTTTTCTAAGAGCACTCATAAAGTGCGGTCTAATGGATTAATCTAACCAATCCATGTTCCTGCTTCACAAGTTTCTCCCAAAGACACATTATGCATCAGGCAAGGTGTATGCCTATGTGTAACCAAATTCATGCAACGCTGAATGTTGTTGGCAGGTCCAGGATGGGGTGAAGGCTGATTTTGAACTGGAGTACATTCTACTTGAAGGTAGGGCTGGTTCAGAGATCATTTGTGTTGGAAAAAACATCTCCTTGAAGGATGAATGTTCCACATGTAGAGTCTGGGTTCAGAGTGATCCCCAGACCCTTTACTGGGTGTAAGAGGCCATTTAATGGATTGGTGGTTCAGATTTGGGTTGATCACATAGCATTGTGCCATGACATGTTAATTGTTGCTCATAGTATCAATCACTGGTTTGTCTGGTCCAGACACAAGTATTTACAAAGTTTGTTATATACATTGAATGTTACTGAGTGTGGGCTAAAGATGAAAAAAACCATAAATGCCACTGGAAGGACTGTTTGATGTACACGGCTGCCATGTTCACGTGACTACTTGTGTCTCCAGGTCACTGCCATGACTCCTCCACCATGCAGCCACCAAGAGGCCTTCAGTTCGTACTCGGCACCAACAGCACCCCCGCTGTCAAGGACACCATCGTCATGGCAAACCTGGTGAATTATTTCATTATGTTTCAGTTAATCATTTTGCGTGTCTGTTAAATAAGTTTTATTTCAGTAGTTATCAGTTAACATATCACAGGAAAATACTGACTGTGTGTGATACAAATTTCAAATACACCTTTGGATGAGAAACCCATATGCAATAACTGGTGTCAACATGTAAGATCATATTCCAGGTCTGTGATTGGTTTATTTATGGTGATGACCTAAGGTCAGATTATGATGGACTACTTTCTTGACAGTAATTCATTGATAAAAATAGACTCATTTCGGTGCAACTCACATACAAAACTTAATTAATTTGGATTATTGATAGTGGTTCTTTCATCTTATCTAGTTATTATGTTAATCTTTGCCTTGATAATACACAGGTACTACATAAATGTTTGTATGGAGGGACGCCCTGGGAATGAGTAGTAAGCAGTAGGTTATGTTATGTATTATTGCGTGTTTGTGTTCATGATAATAGACAAAATGAACAGGTATGTCAGTTCGATGCTGAAAAGGTGTTTTAAGGTGTTCAGGAATAGAAATTACTGCTCTCATGCCTATCAGATTATCTCACAACTTGTTTCAAAATGCATTGAAGTTGTATCTTAGTGTGTGTGACACTGTTGTAGGGTTACTTCCAACTCAAGGCCAACCCAGGAGTGTGGCAACTGCAGCTCAGAGAAGGGCGCTCCAGGGAGATCTATGACATCAACAGGTAAGTGAATGAAGGTGGAACTGACATTTGCCAGGTGAATTTTGCAAGTATCATTAATGCATCTACATATTTCTTTCTATGGTGGGGCTGTGGGGTAGCCTAGTGGTTAAAGCATTCATTCATCACGTCAAAGATCCAGGTTCGATTCCCTACATGGGTACAATGTGTGAAGCCCATTTATGGTGTCCCCCGTGGTGATATTACTGGAATATTGCTAAAAGCTCTTTCCCTGGTTCTCACTCTTTTACTCTTTAACTGTTTCAGTCATGACTTCACAGACACTCCCAAGGGTTCCTCTGATGTTGTGGTTGCCATTAGCAGCTTCAAGAGCAAGATCATCAGGGTCAAGGTGAGAATATCATGAATAAAATGCAGACACACTTTAGTACTTACCTGACAGAAAGTATGAATTGCAAGAATATACGTGAATGGATCATTTTATAGGTGTATCAACGACTTTGGGAGCATATATAGTATGACCAGAAATTATTGAGAATTTTAGGTATATGTTTAATTGGATTTCTAGTATAAACAACCTTGACCAGCTATCAAGTGCTTGGTTTCATTCAAGAGAGACAACTATGTTAATCATTTTTCATTAGTTTGTGAAGAGTTACCCCACTTTGTTTACTTGCTAGCAGACGACATTTTCAGTGATCCTCAGTATGGATGATTTAGAGAAGGGGAAGTTGATTTTAGAGTATTATAACAAGGACATCAGATCAGCTAAAGTGATTTCAAGTAGAACAGGCATCCCTTTGTCCACTGTTTATCGTGTTTTGAAAAATATTGCAAATGGATATAGCATTGAGCACCAGGGAGGCGCAGGTAGGCCCAGAAAATTGACTGTCGGTGACAGGAGGCGGCTTGGTATTCTTGTTTCTAAAAACAAACGAAGGAGTTTAGAAAACTTAAGGCTGGATAGAGGAACTGGCTGTCTGTAAGGAGACAATTAGAACTGAGCTGCATGCAATGGGTTGGCAGAAAAGTTGAGGAATTCCATCACCGATCATGAAACCTGAACAAACGGAGTGAAGGGTTATATCAATGTGAACAGTGAAAGCGTGTACACAGATATTCTCAAAGGGACATTTACTTCCATCTGCTCCGTGTTCTATGGAAATTTTGGATTTTCCAGCACGACAACGACCCCAAACATCGTTCAAAGCATTCACAGGCCTGGTTTCGGACCCAAAATATGACATTATTAGATTGGCCAAGCTATAGCCCTGACCTAAATCCAATACAAAATGTTTGGGGACTTATGAAGGAAAGTGTCAATAAGAAAAATCTGACAAATATTGCTGAAATGAAAGAAGAGGTGGTCCGATATTGGGACAGCATGGACCACGACTTTCTAACTTATTTGATCAGTAGTATGCCCCATTGCCGCATTGAAGCCTGCATTGCTGCCCATGGTGACTTGACAAAATACTAACTGTTCACCTGTCTTTGAATCTGGATGTTATGTCCTGCTGGAAATATTCACATTTATGCCTGTGTGGATGATGTGAGTAATGAGTGAAATGTTTTTTAAAACATACAATCTTAAATTCTCAATGTGATTTCTGGTTGTACTGTATATAGGATATGGTTAGACAGGTTTGTTCTTACATGTGATGGCTGTGCCCATGCGATGGTTCTGTGCCTGTGGGATGATGATGATGGTTCTGTGTGCCTGTGTGGATGATGTGATGGTTCTGTGCCTGTGTGGATGATGTGATGGTTCTGTGCCTGTGTGGATGATGTGATGGTTCTGTGCCTGTGTGGATGATGTGATGGTTCTGTGCCTGTGTGGATGATGTGATGGTTCTGTGTGATGGTTCTGTGCCTGTGTGGATGATGTGATGGTTCTGTGCCTGTGTGGATGATGTGATGGTTCTGTGCCTGTGTGGATGATGTGATGGTTCTGTGCCTGTGTGGATGATGTGATGGTTCTGTGCCTGTGTGGATGATGTGATGGTTCTGTGCCTGTGTGGATGATGTGATGATGTGATGGTTCCCTACTGTTGTATGCTGACAGGTTTCCAAGAAGGCTGACAAGCAGAAGGAGCAGCTGCTGCAGGACTCGGATGAGGGCCAGGGATTGTGGGATTCCATTTCCAGGTCAGTGGCGTCGTATGTCCTGAAGTAAGTACTGTTCTCTCCTGCTGGTGTATTTGTGTGTCCACATAGAGGGCTAGTCTGTTTCATCGTGACCAGGTGCATGCTGGAGTAAGTAGAGGACTCTGTGTATGTCTGTGTCTGTCTGTCTGGACCTGTGGTTGTGTTGTGCTGATGGAGATGTGCCCGTCAGTGATCAGTGTATGTATAAAACTTAACATTGCAGAATGAACATGTTTTACCTCTTTGTAACTTCAGTCTACAGGGGACAGTCTAGACCTCCTGGCCACTGGGTAAATGTTTAAAAAAAAGGTTTAAAAAATAGATGATACCATATACCTCACCCAGAAAACTGTGGACAGTGGTTGAAAACTCCATGACACATCACATATGGCACAAGCCAAAACATCTGGAAGTTTTCAAGGAATGCATGACATGTTTCATTGTGCTTAAACAATACAAAATACATTCAACCATGAATTCATGATTATGTCCTTCCAAGATTTCCAGGCTCCAGTTTCTCAACACTGTCCTTCATGAGCTGCCATACATTTTCAAGAGGATTAATATCACACTCAGCAATGGAAACATCAGTCACATTAGTGTGGTTTTCTGTAAACCACCTGACATAGCTGGTTGGGCATTGTCCTGCTAGAGCACATATGGAATGTACCATTTCTTAAAGTGAAGAACTTGACTATACTTTCAGAAACATAGGGGACATAATAATGTGTAAAAATCACATTAGTAAAACTGGCAGTGGGGTAGCCTAGAGGTTAAAGTGTTGGCTCGTACCCACATGGGTACAATGTGTGAAGCCCATTTCTGGTGTCCCCCACTGTGATATTGCTGGAATATTGCTAAAAGCGGCATAAAATTAAACTCAGTCACTCAGTCTAATGTGCATCAGCATTAGATGAATTTGATGTGGAATGGGTACTGTCCATTCTGATGAATAAGGACCCCTAGATTTCCATGTTTCCAAATCAAGTTGAGTAGACAGATCATCTGTTATCATAAATGAGCCCACTGATCCAACCTGACGTGATTAGCAGTCATGATCTGCATTGTAACATGACCAGCTCTAATGACAAGGGAGACAACTCTGTAGAGGCCGTGTCCCGTAATAAACAAATCATTCTCAACAGTCAGCTATATATTTTTTGGATTTGTTTGCACAGTGTGATATGTATCTGTGTGTGTTTGTAATGTAGAAGTGTTGTCTATGTTATGTGCCTGTGGGTGCCTTTGATGTGTTTTATATACTGGTACATATAGCTTTATGAGTGGATGTTTATATATACATTTCTGTATCTCATTAATATTCTACCCGTAACAGCTTATAAATGAAGTTCGTCCTAATCTTCTGTTGGTCAATGAAGCTGATGCTTGATAAATCATAAGTCTGAACTACAAAATACTTTCCATGTTGGGAGATCAGTAATATTATAAAAATGAACAAAATGTGTGAAACGTACAATGAAATGACCATTGGATAAATCAGATCATGAAATTGGTGACATCATAAATCTAAAAGAACATAGATTTATGGTTTCCCAAAGATTCATAAAAGCAGAATGAATTAAATTTAATCTCAGGATTATGTAGTTTATTGTTTAATAAGGATTAATCCTCTCATGATCTCAAGTTTTAACTCATAGCTGTTGTGCCACTGAGTCTAATGGAGAGATTAAATAATTATCAAGATGTAATTCATAAGCCTGTTTGTAAAGAATGAAGGAGTAATCTGAAAGATGATATTGATTCTATGTATAGACATTCAGAACAAATTGCTGCTAACAGAACACTTACTTGTTTTGAACTTGGTGAGTTGTATCCCCTGATAAAGATCGGGAACGTAAGGCTATCAAACTGGGTTACTTTAATGTCAAACCTACTTCACTCTGTACATGAACAACACAGATAGCTGTCCACAGTAAGTATGCATTCTCTCTCCCATCCTCAAGTGAAGGATATAGATAGGATAAAGATGTATGTAGCTGGAATTACTGTAAACTTTCTAACCTATCAAAAATGTGAATGGCTGCAGTTATGTGACCATAAGTATTGACTTTTTATATATAACTGAAAACACAGGTAGATACATTTTGTTGTTATGTATTTGTAACGCATATATTACTTACCTGTGAGAAGCAGCCCAGTGCAGCTAATGTAGCAGGTGAGTGTTTGAACAAGGCCAATCAGGTGTAAACTGAGTTGAATAAAGAAACTACAAACTGGAGTGACCCAAGCTACCTCCTACACCCAACAGCCAGTAACAGCTGAAATAAGGTGTAGACTTGACTGAAAGTCCAAAGAGATGTTATTAGTCTGCCTGAAGTAGTGATGCGGAGTAAAGCAGCTTCACAGGTCCAGTCAATTTAAACAATAAGTTAAAAGAAAATATGCACAGGTAAGAGTTCCCCCCGTAACCCCTGCTTGAAGTTTTAGGGTTAGATCCTGGCATCTGAATCTCTATATTCCCCAAAACAACTAAACCCCCTTTGAACTCTTAAACCCCCAAGAATATATTAGTGCCTCTTTACATAAAAAAACATCTGTTCTTAGTTATAGAATGATAAAAATACTGGGGGTTTCCGTGTGCATGTAAAGGGAAGTAACTGTGTGCTGTATTGGATCCCATTATGTTTAGTATTGCTTCATTTCACTGCCAAGGTCATTTGTCATATGGAAACTTCACCAATTTTATGTTTCACATGGAAATAGAAACAAAACATATACAGGCGTTGTTGATAAACATGACTAGTTTTTGTAGCCTAAGGGTCACAGATGAAGCTGTTTCTTGTTAAAAAAATACTTTTCATTTATACAAGAGTAAAATTAAGGCAAATAGAAAGTGTAAGTGTAAGAACAGTAGTCAGTCTATCTGCTGCTGTTGAAGGTGGGGTAAGCTTGCTTTCTTTGTCTGTTGTGTGCCCAGCTTGGGTGTCCTGTGCTCACATGGCTGTAGACGTTTATGTGTTGTCCACCTTGTCATCTGTGTTATGGACTTCAAAATATTTAAATCATTTGCTGACATAGTTCAATGTCTGTGTACATGGTGACTGTCACTGATAACACTGTAAGAGTGTACATACAAACGCTATTATGCCCTGCACAATAAACAACAAGTTGCTATCCAATTTGTATGCTTCATTGCATATATTTGACATAATGTTATGTATCATTTTACATTCACCTCATCTGTATTTCTATATGAGGAATTTATCTGTCTTGAACTTTCACATTTACAATATATTCCGATCTATACTAATGGTAATGATGTGAGTAATTCATGCAGTTATCATGGGGAGCACTCAAAGCCTCCTGGCTCCATATTGTCAAGACAAGCATATCAAGGGATAAGAATGATCATTATTTTTGTACTGTCTCATTCCCGCTTCAGAATGATATGACTAACTACTCTGGTGCATGTTTCAGTGGGAGCTGCACCATTTTCAGTTGGTTCACGGTTTGTGATGCATGATTCTGAAATCCGGACCTAAACAGTTTTTTTTCTGTCTAATTGCTGCAGCTCATTCACTGGACAAAAATCTGATGAAGGTGAAGATGAAACCCTCAACATCTTTTCCCTGGCTTCAGGACATCTGTATGAGAGATTTTTGAGGTGGGTCGTCATCTAAGCAGCAGTTAAACCCATTATATACATTAATTGCAGCAGCAAAATATCACAATTATAATCATGATAGAAAATACATAATTCTCCACACATACTTGTGGCAATAATATACATGAAATATGAACATAGTAAAAGGATAAAATAACTACCAAATATATGGTACTCAGGTGACAGTGAGCAACATCTACCTTAGTGAAACAGCATGTAACATCTATAAGTAATAATATACCTTTAAGTATATTATGCTAACTTAGAGTGATAAAACATATATCACTCTAAGACTAAACAAATTCTGAAATAGCTATTATATCATGATAAACAAACCTGCATAATTAATATATAGGTAAGAGTTCCTCCCATTCCCCCATCCCAAATAATATTTATAAATATACTAAAATTATTAACAAAACTTAACACAACAATTACTAGACAACTCACAAAATGACTAAAAGTACAAAATTTAAGTGTTAGGTTTAGAGTTAAGAGAACGGAAGGAACTCTTTCCAATATATATATATACCTTACCAGTGCAACATTATGTGTACTGTGATACTTCTTATAAATATATACAATAAACAGTTATAAAATGCTATGGTATTTCAAATGGCACAAACATTACATGTACCACCAACAGGTGTAAAACATGGCTGACAAAGATGGCCGCTAAGCAGGCACACATGCTTGTTTGTCACCTGACCTCATAAAATGTTACTATATTACTAATAAACTTATATTAATCCTGGTGCAGTAAACATGAAAATCATGTCTATAAACACACATTATTTGACTTACACTATTCTTAAAACACATTCATACCTTCACATCACTCAATATTATAACCTAAGCAAGAATAGTGTTTATAATATAACTATACTTAACAAATATTACATCCTACATAATATGTTTATAATTAAGTTAACTAACCTTAAACAGATAGTAGATGTAGAGCTGAAGGAGAAATCAGACGTCCGTAAAAAATATCGAGAAATCTGTTTTAAGGTGACTTTCTTGTGCAGCTGTATGTGGTAGACTGATTAAAATGTGCTGATGATAGTAAAGAAGAAAACAGACAAGATTAAACTGACCAATCAGAGATCAAGGAATAGCTTGCCCTCTTGAGTTAAGAACAAAAGAACACCCTGCTCTCCCACAATAATACAATAGAGCCCAGGTCCAGCTTGGGGTAATCAACCTGTAGACAAATACCAAACATACTCTAATAAAAAACCTAATCCAATAAAACTACCACAACCAAACTGTTTAAAAATGATACCATATTTACACAAATGAATAAAATGTAAAACTATGACACTGCCACATAATGGACTGGTATGGATGTGGTATGTTCCACTGTGAGTTCCTGACTTCACCCTACTCATTGAAGATCTGGGTTAGAATTGGTGTTCAGTAACCCGTGCTTGTAGTGAGAGGCAGCTAACGGGATCGGGTGGTCAGGCTCATGGACTTGGTTGACACTTCATCTTATCCCAATTGCTAGAACGATGCTCATGGTGTTGATCACTGGATTGTCTGGTCCAGACTCAATTATTTACAGATTGCCGCCATATAGCTGGAATATTGCTGAGTGCAGCGTTAAACAATAACCAATCAAATAATCATTTGTAACAACGTGACATTAAATGTACTTTACCCTCTAACTGAGTCTTACCTGTAAATGTTCCTGTGGTTGATGGCAGAGAAAGCACAGATTGTCTACAATGTTTGCCTGGTTATCTTGCAGAATAATGATGCTGGGTGTGTTGAAAAATACAAAATCAAAAGTGAAATTCTGGTTTCTGAAAAATTATCTGTCGCCAACAGTAACGGTAAGTATAGCCACGAAACAGATAATGTATTTCTATGTTTAGAAGTTCTTTCATCTGCAGTATCCAGTATCCATACAATGATAAATGCGCTTAAATGTCAAAATGACATGGTACTGAAGATGGCTATCCAATCAAAAGAGTTCCAGAGAAGTTCCGTGGGAAGTATCTGATGGGAGTGATGGAGATACTGATATCACCACCAGGGGAAACCATGGTGATGAATGTATCCAGGGTAACCATATGAAGTGGTATCATAAGAGATATGCTGGCCAGCTGACTAGACAAAACCCATTACGCCTTGCATAAATTTTAGTTGACATTGAAGTCTAGTGACCTATGAAATACTGCTGGCAAGGGAGAGCTACCAGTATGTTGCAACATATTTTAGTTATTTATAATACTGATGTCTTGGTTGTGTTGTACAATTGTATAGTGTCTGCTGTTTGCAGGACTTCATACCACATATGGCCAAGGAGTATGGGTTCGAATATGAGCTGGTGCAGTACAAGTGGCCACGTTGGCTTATACAGCAGAAGGAGAAACAGAGAGTTATCTGGGGGTGAGTGAGTGGCAGGTTCATTGTGGGTATCCTGGGGTGAGTGAGTGGCAGGTTCATTGTGGGTATCCTGGGGTGAGTGAGTGGCAGGTTCATTGTGGGTATCCTGGGGTGAGTGAGTGGCAGGTTCATTGTGGGTATCCTGGGGTGAGTGAGTGCAGGTTCATTGTGGGTATCCTGGGTGAGTGAGTGGCAGGTTCATTGTGGGTATCCTGGGGTGAGTGAGTGGCAGGTTCATTGTGGGTATCCTGGGGTGAGTGAGTGGCAGGTTCATTGTGGGTATCCTGGGGTGAGTGAGTGGCAGGTTCATTGTGGGTATCCTGGGGGTGAGTGAGTGGCAGGTTCATTGTGGGTATCCTGGGGTGAGTGAGTGGCAGGTTCATTGTGGGTATCCTGGGGTGAGTGAGTGGCAGGTTCATTGTGGGTATCCTGGGGTGAGTGGCAGGTTCATTGTGGGTATCCTGGGGTGAGTGAGTGGCAGGTTCATTGTGGGTATCCTGGGGTGAGTGAGTGGCAGGTTCATTGTGGGTATCCTGGGGTGAGTGAGTGGCAGGTTCATTGTGGGTATCCTGGGGTGAGTGGGAGTGGCAGGTTCATTGTGGGTATCCTGGGGTGAGTGAGTGGCAGGTTCATTGTGGGTATCCAGTGTTGGCAGGTTCATTGTGGGTATCCTGGGGTGAGTGAGAGTGGCAGGTTCATTGTGGGTATCCTGAGGGGTGAGTGAGTGGGGGAGTGAGTGGCAGGTTCATTGTGGGTATCCTGGGGTGAGTGAGTGGCAGGTTCATTGTGGGTATCCTGGGGTGAGTGAGTGGCATCCTGGGGTGAGTGAGTGGCAGGTTCATTGTGGGTATCCTGGGGTGAGTGGCAGGTTCATTGTGGGTATCCTGGGGTGAGTGAGTGGCAGGTTCATTGTTCATTGGGTATCCTGGGGTGAGTGAGTGTCAGGTTCAGGTTCATTGTGGGTATCCTGGGGTGAGTGGAGTGGCAGGTTCATTGTGGGTATCCTGGGGTGAGTGAGTGGCAGGTTCATTGTGGGTATCCTGGGGTGAGTGGAGGTTCAGGTTCATTGTGGGTATCCTGGGGTTCAGTGATCCTGGGGTGTGGTGGCAGGTTCATTGTGGGTATCCTGGGGGGGTGAGTGGTGGGTTCATTGTGGGTATCCTGGGGTGAGTGGCATTGTGGGTTCATTGTGGGTATCCTGGGGTGAGAGAGTGGCAGGTTCATTGTGGGTATCCTGGGGGAGTGAGTGGCAGGTTCATTGTGGGGGGTATCCTGGGGTGTGTCATTGTGGTATCCTGGGGTGAGGCAGGTTCAGGTTCATTGTGGTTATCCTGGGGGTGAGCGGGTGGCAGTTTCTTTGTGGGTATGACTATCACTGGTAGAGATGTGTCACACAGATTGGGGTTTAGGGGCAGGACCTCATTACATCGTGCCCCAAATGGGTGAACATAGCAGCATGGGAACCTGTGGCTGTCCCCAGTATAATGTGTTTGTTGTCATTGGGAGGTAAGGATTGGTTGTCATCCTACTCCCAGATTGGTGTTCATGCTATCAGTCGCAGGTTTGTTTGCTCCAGACATGCTAGTTTACAGTGAGTGAGTTTCACCCATCAGGCTACCCCTCCGCCCTGCTAGTTTACAGTGTACACTGACATACCTGTTGTAGGAAAGATGTATTCATGTACATGTGACTGTCAGTGTTTATCAAGTAGTCAGTTCTCATTTAGTGTTATCTCTCCTTTCAGATATAAAATTCTCTTTTTGGATGTGCTGTTTCCACTACATGTTAAGAAAATAATATTTGTAGATGCTGACCAGGTGAGTTTTACATTTCTCAATACCATTTATAACAAAATTGGTGGCATTAATATAAGTTGTTTTACGTAAACTTTGCAATTCATATAATTGGATTGTGAATTTGCTGCATTGTAAATAATATGTAATTTTTAAAAAGTTACTCTCTCTATAGTTGTAACTTCAGTGAGAAGATTGCTTGAGAGAATGTCTTTGACTGACTCTGGAGGTAGGAGAACTACACTGCACAGCCCAGTTATAAGTGAACTGATTCTTGTTTTCAGATTGTGAGGGCAGATTTAAAAGAACTGTATAACTTGGACTTGGGAGGGGCCCCGTATGGTTACACACCATTCTGTAGTGACAGGAAGGAGATGGATGGCTTTAGGTAAGTTCTCACCATCACAACTTCCGATCGTGTTTCATGCAAATGTTCAAAAGTTGTTCCTTTCTACAAATAATAAAAGGGTACAGAGCTCAAGATAAATTTTAGCTGATGTGGGTACTGTACTCACTGTATTTTTTTGGAGTGGGTATTATGAATGTTGAGTGGGTATTTCATTTTCCGTTACCCACTGCTTTCAAATATGTGCGTATTTCAGTCATTTTACTCACCTAAGTATTATGGTATGTCATTGAGCAAGTTTACTAAGCAGGTATGTTCTGCCTTATGTCATACCTAATCAAAACCAACTTAAATATAATGGAAATTATTTAATAAAAAATCACTCATCCTATACTGACAGTACAACACTAGTCCTATACTAACAGTACAACTTGATAGCAATCGATGTCTTTTTCATTACACAAACGATTTTTATAAATATATTCCGTAAGCATTGTTTTAAACATTTTTGAGTATCTAACATTTTAAATGCGTAATTGGTACGCAACAATTATTTTTCAATGCGTAATTGGAAATTTTCTATGCGTATTTTACCCGGATACGCAGCTTATCTGGGCCTCTGTGGGTATCAGAATGTGACCCAGCTTTTTGTGATGTATATGATGAGGAGTGATTGTACAACTTGTTCTTGTTTGTTCCAGGTTTTGGAAGTCCGCTACTGGGCCAGTCATCTAGCTGGCAGGCCATACCATATTAGGTAATTTATTTCAGTATCAGTAGAACTTGGCGCTCCTAGATACTTATTACAGATACTGTGATTACATTCCTGTAAATTCACTTTTGTGTAGGTCTTGTATTGTCATTGAAATAAAGTACTTTGTATGGATAGGAGATGAAGTTAAGGCTAAGAAACGTCTTACTGAATGATGTTTGGTAAGTTCCATGAAGCATACAGTAGTGGAACATTCCAACTGTTGGGGTGAGCATCTGATAATGCAGCCTTACTTCCTAACTCTGCAGTGCCTTGTACGTGGTGGATCTGAAGCGGTTCCGGCATATCGCGGCAGGGGACCGGCTACGAGGACAGTACCAGGGTCTGAGCCAGGACCCCAACAGTCTTGCCAACCTGGACCAGGATCTGCCCAACAACATGATCCATCAGGTGGCCATCAAGTCCCTGCCCCAGGAGTGGCTGTGGTGCGAGACCTGGTGTTCCACAGAGTCCCTCCAGTATGCCAAGACAATAGATCTGGTCAGTTACTACACTAGCTTCTGTAGCTTTAGTCCACGGAGTCCCTCCAGTATGCCAAGACTATAGATCTGGTCAGTTACTACACTAGCTTCTGTAGCTTTAGTCCACGGAGTCCCTGCAGTATGCCAAGACAATAGATCTGGTCAGTTACTACACTAGCTTCTGTAGCTTTAGTCCACAGAGTCCCTTCAGTATGCCAAGACTATAGATCTGGTCAGTTACTACACTAGCTTCTGTAGCTTTAGTCCACGGAGTCCCTGCAGCATGCCAAGACTATAGATCTGGTCAGTTACTACACTAGCTTCTGTAGCTTTAGTCCACGGAGTCCCTCCAGTATGCCAAGACAATAGATCTGGTCAGTTACTACACTAGCTTCTGTAGCTTTAGTCCACAGAGTCCCTCAGTATGCCAAGACTATAGATCTGGTCAGTTACTACACTAGCTTCTGTAGCTTTAGTCCACGGAGTCCCTCAGTATGCCAAGACAATAGATCTGGTCAGTTACTACACTAGCTTCTGTAGCTTTAGTCCACGGAGTCCCTGCAGTATGCCAAGACAATAGATCTGGTCAGTTACTACACTAGCTTCTGTAGCTTTAGTCCACGGAGTCCCTCCAGTATGCCAAGACAATAGATCTGGTCAGTTACTACACTAGCTTCTGTAGCTTTAGTCCACGGAGTCCCTGCAGTATGCCAAGACAATAGATCTGGTCAGTTACTACACTAGCTTCTGTAGCTTTAGTCCACGGAGTCCCTCCAGTATGCCAAGACTATAGATCTGGTCAGTTACTACACTAGCTTCTGTAGCTTTAGTCCACAGAGTCCCTTCAGTATGCCAAGACAATAGATCTGGTCAGTTACTGCACTAGCTTCTGTAGCTTTAGTCCACGGAGTCCCTCAGTATGCCAAGACTATAGATCTGGTCAGTTACTACACTAGCTTCTGTTGACTGAAGAATTTGTCTTAGACATCAAAGAATTTAGTCCACCTAGCTACGGCTGCATGAAACATGACATTTGTTGTTCTGTTGACAGTGCAACAACCCACTCACGAAGGAGCCTAAGCTGAGTGCTGCCATGAGGATTGTACCAGAGTGGAAAGAATATGATTATGAAATAAAAGTGTTGTGGGATAAAGTGTATGGAACCAACACTCGGCTACAGACAGAATATGAAGTATCTGATAAACAAAAAGGTATGGAAGTGTTACTATTTCTCTAGTTGTTTCCTTCAGTCAGTGTTGGGAAGGTCCTGGAGACCCTGTGACAGGATCACTGGACACTTGGGAGGGACAGGGGCAGCTGGTAGCTGGGATGTGAAATTGTATATTACTGATATAGATGCTTCGATAGAAGTTTATACATTCTCAAAGCATGGTCATGATATACCAAGGTTTATGTAGGAAATACTGTTCACATATGTAGCAGGGGTGGTGGGGTAGCCTAGTGGTTAAAAGCGTTCACTCGTCACGCCGAAGACCCGGGTTCAATGGGTACAATGTGTGAAGCCCATTTCTGGTGTCCAGTGCCAGGATATTGCTGGAATATTGCTAAAAGTGGCGTAAAGCTAAACTGACTGAATCACTCACACATGTAGCACTTATTTCATCGTTGTATAGCCTCCCTTCCTTCATCGCCCTCACCACCCCTTATGTTCTTGGTTCTTGACATAGTGATACTATGAAAAACATGATGTTGCGATACTCTTTGCCATGTGTATACATTATACGAGTATGTACATTTGATTTTCTTTTGGTTTCAGATTCAATGAAAAAGGATGAATTATAACACTGGCCAAAGGTTTAGAGTATTTTATGTACATATGTAAAGTTTGTTGTAATAAGATTTGTGGAAAATTCTCATCCTCCCTGGTGGAGAACATCTTCATGTTGTGAGAGGGGAAGTGACTGAAGGCTTGGTACCGACACTGTTGGGACATAGATATAGGTTAAAGTTACTGTACAGTACACAAGCAGCTGCACATACGTGGGGATTCTCTGTACTACCTATCCCAACAGCATCTCATCTACGTGTGTGTCCCATCTACTGGCAGTACACCACATCTCAACTGACTACACACATCAAGATGGACATACACTGCCTGTTTCCGGGCTCAGGGAATACAGCAACAGACCCTTAAAGTTTAGATTGTTGACATTCTCATATTGTTACTCAATGAAAATCATGAATAAATTTATCTTATGTATGATTTATCCAACATCTCACAATACTGTTGTTAGGACTAGATCTCTGTACTGATAAGTTGAACATAGAACTTGTTTCCTGTTTGTGAAGAAAGGCGGTAGAATTTGTTAGTACTTGGTTTGTTTAGGTTTCAGGTGAACATCATTTGTGAAATATCTTCTAAGTTCATGGTAATAATTTTAAACACATGATAAGGTGTTAGATTGAGTCACAGAGTGGTTAGTGTATGTCAGTCAGTGTGTTGTTTATCACTGGGGGTGGTCAGTAGGGATTGCTAGATGTAAACATGGTCCAGCAGCAGGCGACATGACGCCCACAGACTGCCATCTTACATCACAAGGTACCTGCATCCCCTGTCATGAACAGCGTTCCATGGACCTCAATAATTATAAGACAAAATGTGGCATCAATAAGTATCTTTTATGTTGTTTGTCTGTCAGTGATAAGATTTGGAATCTTTTCGTAATCGGATTGACCTAATTGTCTGCCATGGTAGTCATCATTTTGAAACCATTCGAAAAAGAACAGCAATTGTATATTCATCACAAGCATTACCACTTGTGTTTGAGACAGGGAGCCCAAAAAGGCTTCAAATCGATGAAAAATAAAGTTTGATATCAGCCAATGGCCTCTGTTGCCTTGGAAAGATTATATAAATTTCAGTGAAAGAGTCTAAGTGAACTTTGTATGTATGTGGTAGATGCCTGTATTTATGATGTGTTGGTGCATGTGTGTAACCTGGGACACACTGTCTGGTGTAGGCCTGAATGCATGGAGCATCACACCTCGCATGACTGGTTCAAATCTTGTAAAAAGTGAGAATGATACATCTATTTATACTTTCATGTTCGACCTCTTTATTATGTAATATTCTTACATATTTCATCCAGTACAAGTCAAGGGTGTATATTTTAATAGTGCAAATCAATTTGGACCTTTCATATTTCATAAAGTTGTAAGTAAACAGAGTTGTAGCATATTTAAGATAAAATTAAATTTGTCCGGCCAAAATAATTAAATCCAGACATGATGTAGAAGTTGGCGACATGGAAGCTGATCCTGAGTACCTGCAATTGACGTGATCCAGCATTACACCAAGACCTAAACCTACAGGATGCCTTCTAGGACTGGGGTTGCTTGATGAATATAACCAACACACTCACTCATAGTTCATTGCTGGCGTTATTTCATGTCTTCTTTAATGTTATCCTTTTCTTAATAAATTGATTGATTTATGGTTCAAGGGACACCTCCTGTGTGCACTTTGTAACCCTCTATTATATACTGTTACCTTGTGAGGACAAAACCAATTATACTTGATATGCAGGAACAATCCTGCCTTGGAAGAATTTTACTTCTGATTCATGAAACCGTTCGGGTGCACAACTTTTACTAAAACTACCTAGACCAATCTTTTAGAAGTCATTGTATCAAAACCAGATGTTCTTTGCTTTAGCTTGATAAGGTAGAATGCAATTTGCCATCCACTTTGCCATTGTCTGCTCATGTTGGCAATATGTCCTGGTTGCCCTATGACAGATATAGCAGGGGTGTGCAGGGCAGCAGAGAAAACCTTGAAGGTCATGGCTCAGTTCTACTTAAAATATTATGGGCTTCCATTAAAATATGATACAGTATATGACCCTTTTGGTCATTTCATGTGGACAGTTGACAGTTGTATGGTGGATCTGACAATGAGTGTACTGTGCAACCTGTTCTGCCGTCTGAAAGATTGATCCATGTGTTTTCTGCATCAATGGCTTAAAGGATGGGAGTGTATTTAGATGCTATTTGTAGTAGTGCTGTCTTTGTTGTAGTTGTTGTATCCATTTATGAATCTTTGTTATTCTTATAGTACCCCTAAACTGTACAACAAAGTCGGGAAAGGATGGTTTCATATCAGTTTCTTTCTTTGACATTCACAGATTCTTTGTTCCTACTTCAACAGCTATATCATCAACAGCATTTGGAAATGAAATCTGTGACTGTTTTCAGAATACTTCTCTTTCCATTATGACACAACTGGTGTGTCCATTAACTTCAGTGACAAATGTTCAGATGTGAACCGTCACAAGAAACAAAGATCAGCAGCAGCAGTATGGAAGCAAGTGTTTCTCCCAGGCAACCATTGCGCTTTGATTGCCTATTTGTTTTATCATAATAGCCATTGTATAACTTTCAAGGAAATACATTTTTTTCTGCCCAACATCAATCCAAAGTGTAAATCATGAGAAAATAAACATTCCATATAAGGACTGTCCTGTTGTGTTGTGTACTGCTAACAGCCTGCAGGACGAAGGACAGCCTGGCACCACTCAGTACATGACCTCAAGCCACATGAATAACATGGATAACCTTTCACTTGACTTTCTCTCCGTTCTCAGCAATATAACAGTGGTCATTAAATAAGTCTGGTACAGACAATCAAATAATCTACATCGCTGGCATAATGACATTCATCTGTTAAGTCAGCGAGCCTGACAATTTGATCCAGTTTGCCACCGAATATGACCAGCAATATTTGCTGAAAGCCAATTCTAAACCAGACATTAGAAACCAGTAGATAAACTACCCAACGGAGCAAATCATTAATGAAAAAACATCTGCATGAACATCATTTTCAAACAGAGTAAGTCAGGTATATAAAATTCTACCAGGAATTTGGAAATCCCAATAACCAACAACATCAACAGCTCAATTTTACAGAAAGTTTTTTTTTTCTCATTTGTCATTATGCATTTTAAGCAATAATATGTTCAATATCGGTTACAGAAGGAACAATTTTGGTTACTACAATATTCAATGTATATGTCGCAATATATCTCCAACTGAAAATAAAACAGAAATTGATAAAAGAGGGGTATTTGAAATTTTACGGATACCATGAACCTGAAATGATCTGTTTGATTGGCAGTTTAAGAGTTGGTGAGTAATAAGAAAGTAAGATACTTTATGGACAACTTATATGATGAGACGTTTCGGCATCGGTTCTTATACCGTTGCCATGCAAGATGCAAGATGCACTCTTGATGATCACACCTCTGAAGCATGTTATCAACCAAACATAATGTCATTTGATCATCTTGTCTCTGAAGCATGTTATCAACCAACATAATGTCATTTGATCATCTTGCCCCTGAAGAATGTTATCAACAAACATAATGTCATTTGATCATCTTGACACTGAAGTAGGTTTTATCAACCACCTAATATCAGTTGATCATATTGACATTGAAACTTGTTTATCAACTAACACAATATATCTTGATCATCTTACCTCTGAAGCATGTTATCAACCAACACAATGTAATTTGATCATCTCACCCCTGAAGCATGTTATCAACCAACACAATGTAATTTGATCATCTTGCCCCTGAAGCATGTTATCAACCAACACAATATATCTTGATCATCTTACCTCTGAAGCATGTTATCAACCAACACAATGTAATTTGATCATCTTGCCTCTGAAGCATGTTATCAACCAACACAATGTAATTTGATCATCTCGCCTCTGAAGCATGTTATCAACTAACAGAATATATCTTGATCATCTTACCTCTGAAGCATGTTATCAACCAACACAATGTAATTTGATCATCTTGCCCCTGAAGCATGTTATCAACCAACACAATGTAATTTGATCATCTTGCCCCTGAAGCATGTTATCAACCAATACAATGTAATTTGATCATCTTACCCCTGAAGCATGTTATCAACCAACACAATGTAATTTGATCATCTTGCCCCTGAAGCATGTTATCAACCAACACAATGTAATTTGATCATCTTGGCCCTGAAGCATGTTATCAACCAACACTGAATTTGATCATGAAGCATGTTATCAACCAACACAATGTAATTTGATCATCTTGCCCCTGAAGCATGTTATCAACCAACCTGATCAGCTGAAGCATGTTATCAACCAACACAATGTAATTTGATCATCTTGCCCCTGAAGCATGTTATCAACCAACACAATATAATTTGATCATCTTGCCCCCTGAAGCATGTTATCAGCATGTTATCAACACATATGTAATTTGATCATCTCACCCTGAAGCATGTTATCAACCAACACAATGTAATTTGATCATCTTGCCCCTGAAGCATGTTATCAACCAACACAATGTAATTTGATCATCCCTGAAGCCTGAAGCAATGTTATCATCTTGCCCCCTGAAGCATGTTATCAATAACACAATGTAATTTGATCATCTTGACCCTCAAGCATGTTATCAACCTTGCCACTGAAGCATGTTATCAATTTGATCATCTTGATCATCCTGAAGCATGTGAAGTATTATCAACCAATTAACATGTAATTTGATCATCTTCACCCTGAAGCATGTTATCAACCAACACAATATAATTTGATCATCTTGCCCCTGAAGCATGTTATCAACCAACACAATATAATTTGATCATCTTGACCCTGAAGCATGTTATCAACCAACACAATAATTTGATCATCTTGCCCCTGAAGCATGTTATCAACCAACACAATGTAATTTGATCATCTCTCCCCTGAAGCATGTTATCAACCAACACAATGTAATTTGATCATCTTGCCCCTGAAGTATGTTATCAACAACCATATTGTCATTTGATCATCTTGACACTGAAGCATGTTATCAACCACCATAACATAATTTGATCATCTTGACCCTGAAGCATGTTATCAACCACCATAATATAATTTGATCATCTTGCCCCTGAAGCATGTTATCAACCACCATAACATAATTTGATCATCTTGCCCCTGAAGCATGTTATCAACCACCATAACATAATTTGATCATCATTGATAACATAATTTGATCATCTTGACATTGAAGCATTTTTATCAACCAACATAATATAATTTGATCATCTTGACACTGAAGCATGTTACTTTTTCCATAAATCACTTTGTCTTTTGAGAGAAAAAGACAAAAACAACTTTGTTTATGCTACAATTTGTCAGATGTCAATACAAAAGTGAACATACACCATGAACTGAAATGTGTAAATTTCCTTCTAATATATTTCACTCTTACAGGCAATAATTCTGAACATGCTCCAGGTTAAAAATTAGAAGCTGGCTAGAATTCTTTCATTAACTCTTTTATTCCTTCTGACTTTCACAAAACAACCTGTGATCCAACAAATACCAAATACTGGTAGAAACGAACAATATCAGCCTCAAGGTAAACAGTATCAAAGTATACTCCAAGGATTCTTCACCCAACTTGCATCATTGAAATATTCCATTGTAATATAGTCCAGCACTGATGTGGGCAGAAAGTCAAGCCCGTTCTCCTCTGTCATATGTCTGCCTCTGGTTGACTGATGTATACACGCCCTGGCTAGAGCTGACAATCTTCGCGGGTTGGTGATCACTGCCTGCAGCCTCTCTGGAGGGAGTCCTGGGATAGTTATTGTCTCCAGGTCAGGCAAGTGAGTGTGATGGACACAAGAGTCTAAGAGCATTAGCTTCACCTTGTCATTGTCAAACATACCAGGTGTAAAGATTACATTCAGACAGGTCTGCCCACATTTGTTTGGAATGTCAGGTCGGGCTCCATATTGCAGAAGAATTTGGACAGCATAGGTATCGACTTGTTTGTTCTTATGTATTCCACATAAATAGTCAACATTAGCACGTTGCAAGCCTTTTACTGCTAGTAAGAGCGGGGTTTCACCAGATTCTGTCTGTGCATTGACGTCTGCTCCATGCTGACACAGTAAGTACACAAGGTCACTCTTATAGCTCTCAGAGTTGGAAACCGTGGCAACATGAAGTGGGGCCACTCCTGCTCCCAAGTTCCAGGTCTGGTGTGGTAAGTGTCTATTTCTTTTAATATTTGACTTGCATTTGACATTGACGTCTGCACCGTGTTGGAGGAACTGCTCCAATGTTGGGTAGGAGTCATCTTCCCATCCTTGTCTCAGACCGCTGCAGACATAGAACAATGGAGGACATGGATCACCATCAGATGCTTTGTTAACACTGTAACCATGGGAAACCAGGGCCTTCAACAAAGAGTCTGGGGAGTGAAAAAATGGGATGTGCTGAACTGGACTCTGAAGGGTGATGTGATGGCCTGACTTGATGAGTTTGGCCAGAGTGCTGCAGCAGATCTTGTGTGACAAAAGTTCATCTACCAGAGTTGTTCCTTTCCTGGATCTGGTTGGAAGGGCAACATTATTCTTGTGGAAGAGGTCAAGAATATCACGTCTATAGCTCATGATCTGGTATCCACCTATCAGTTTGTTGATGGCCAAATCCCCAATGGTGCCACCTACAATTGAAATCTTGTACCTTGAAAGCATATTAACAAATTGTAACGAGAGAGTTAAAGACACTCTTACAAATATGTGTTCTTCACACTGTCCTTACCCCTTCCCTTCCATCCCCTAGACTGCACTACTGAGTGAAGGTCATGACCCTTGACTACTGCTGGTCCTTAACGGAAGGGTCAAAAACAGTGTATCTGAGGTGCAGAAGCAAAGTGATACATAACTTGACTTACGACAATGTGAGAAAACAGCTCATTTAACATGTAAATAAATTGATATGATATATTGCTGTTTTGCTGTCAGCTTTATTTGATTCTTAGTCATGAGTCAATGTTTGATCAGTCCAGTGATTAATGGGTCACAGTGTTTCCCATCATATTATGTAAACAACGGTAACCAATGTCTTTGGTTTTTGAGAACCCACTCACCATTAAACAATGCATCTTGATCCCTGAGGCTCTTTGACAAAGTCACATTGAAGTCAAACCCAGAGTCATGCAAAATCCTCACTATGTCAGGAAATCCTCTTTCAACTGCCACCTCCAGCAGTGAGCAGCCTCTGTTGTCTGTTTTTGGTTTGAAAATAACATCACACATTATTCGAGCAAATTTGTTATCTAAAATGACATGATTTACTTCTTACTACCCACCTGATTCCTGTACTGAACATCCACCACACTCACCTCCTTCCTGTACTGAACATCCACCACACACTCACCTCCTTCCTGTACTGAACATCCACCACACACTCACCTCCTTCCTGTACTGAACATCCACCACACACTCACCTCCTTCCTGTACTGAACATCCACCACACACTCACCTCCTTACTGTACTGAACATCCACCACACACTCACCTCCTTCCTGTACTGAACATCCACCACACACTCACCTCCTTCCTGTACTGAACATCCACCACACACTCACCTCCTTCCTGTACTGAACATCCACCACACCACCACACACCACACTC